GGTAGGGACACTGAACAAGTTTTGAAGTTGTTTAAATCACGATCAAATTCCAAATTTCGCTGAACGCGTTTAACATTTTGCCATTCACGAGCAGTCAGCCATATGAAAAGGGGAGGAGTTAACTTCCAAACGGAATAAACGGCTCAAACGACAAGCTTCCAAACGGCATTTCACAGACGCGTTTGGGAGCTTGTCATATAACAATAGTAAACGTGTTTGACCCGTTTCTGTCGTTGGGGATAATTTGTAGATCGGGCCTTACCGTGTAAGCATTTTTTAAAAAACCAGCAATTCAATGCAGAAACATATCTTCTTTAGTAAGTTGTGGAGTTGAAAAGCTCAGTGGTTAAGATGCTTGCCTTCTGGTTCCAGGATCCTGGGTTGAATTCCTGTCACAGCAAGAATTTTTCTCACTACTAAATACAATTCCACTCCCTAAGGCCCATAAAGAGACTTAGTTTATAAAGCATCATTCTCATCCTGTAAGTGGTGAGTGTACTTGCTGTTGGATATGAAGGAAATAAAAAAAAAAAAAAAAAAGCAGATAGATGCCAAGAGTCAACATGTGAGTCCAGTATGAATCCTCTAACCCGCAATCGAACAAAGAGGATCAAAACTCAAAAGGCAACAGGCCCAAAATTACAAAAATGAAAAACTAATGTTTTACATAAAATTTGGTCTTGGTCTGAATCCTGGTTGTCAATTTCAGTTTTGAGTTCGGAAAAAGCATGTTATTATTTACTAGGAAGTACAGGTCTCGCTCTAATTAAAGGCTCCTTCTATTAAGGACTATACCTCCAAAGAGCACTTTTCTGATAAATATTTATTGGATAGATATTATTCCCAAATTAACAACTACTGTCTTTTGTCTTTATCCATTCTAATTAGACCAAGGCTGCTAAAAGGCATTGGTAACCTTGGTCCCATAAGTGGTCATTAATTGGAGGGAGACCTGTATTCTTAAGTGTCTTTACAAAAGTGATAAAAGTGCTGTACATTAAAACAATTTAGATAGATGCTAAAATACAATTTAAAAACAATTCAACCTATAAAAATTCCACATACTATATACTGCATCATCGATATATTTGCTTCTAATTTTTGCTATATTATTCGTTACTTTTTATAGACGTTTTAAATAGAATATTGTAGTGCCTTAAGCCGGGCAATCACTGCATCGTACTACGAATCCAACTCGACTACTCGTGAGTGGTAGACTGAGAGCAGCTTAGCTCAGTCGGCTAATCTGGTGGTAGCCACTGTGTGTGAGCTGAACCATGATTGGAGATCTCAATGTCCCCGGTTCGTCTAAACGGACCGTAATTAAAAATGATCAGTTGTGCGTTGTCATTTTGCGTTCTTTGCAGTGAGTGCCCCGCCTTTACACTACGAGTAGACTAATGCACTATTTGAAGCACTTGGAGAATACTATTAATTATTTTTAGCATGGAGTAATTTAAATTTGATATAATTTCAAATGATTAACATTATGCTTTTGATTACTTGATTTGATATTTTATTTCTACCTGCTTAATATCTTTAATTTGTTTATACTTTTGAAATTAAAGAAATACTGTCTGTGTGGTAAAATCTATAAAAAAAAAAAAAATATGAAATAATGTTTTTTCAATTTGTATTGCCTCCTGAAAAAAATCATAAAACTCAATTTTAAATTAATTTTGCTCATTTTGAAGTAACATAAAAATCATCATCTGCAGCATACTGTAGAAATAGTATAGTTTTAATGGATAATGAAAAAAAATTTAGAAACACTTACAGTGAGTGATCTGATTCTATAATTTTTTATTAATATCCAGCATAAAATTCGAGGTAATTTTTATGCTCAAATTGAGTTATTAAGTTGTTTTAAAAATATCTTTTTATGGTATTTTTCCCCACCCCCCTTTCTGGAGACAATACATATACAAAGTAAGCAGTTGGAAAGTTAATTTTACAGTTTACAGTATTCTACAGACAGTGTTTCTTTAAAACATTCTTTTTATTTTGTGAATTTTGGTTGAGCATTTTGTCTGCCTTGTTTATTTAGACACATAGCAAGACGGCAGAGTATAATGAAGAATCTCTCGTCTGTGAGTCTTGCCTCTTTGATGCCCATGGACAGGCAGTATCATTCTGAAGCAAATTTCAGGCATGTTCATATACATCTGTTTATATGTGACATAACTGTTCTTACTGTCGTATTGACTCTATGTCAGCGAGTCCACTAAAAGCACATGTGTTACTGTTACGCTAATTACAATATTCATGCGCAACATATGGTTTCGTTATTTTATTCTTTGTTACTTCCAACAACACATCAAAAAGCATGCAGCTCCTCAAAGTACCCAGAATGTTTTCAATTATAATAGCACTCTCTGCCTCTTGGTTATCCTAGTGTTTTCTTCATCTCACTGTTTTTTATACCAATATCTCTTTCCATCTAAGGTCACATCTCTTTTATACCCCAGCATGAATCACACTGACCTACGACCTCTTCCATTACTCTAAAATATGCTCGGTAAAGTGTTCCATTAATCTACAAGGGACACAATTCTGTGACAGTACATTCTGAAAACTGCATTGATATTGTGGTAGTGGTACGAAAGGCAAAGAGTTCTCTGTGCAGGGGGAAGAACGTGCACTCCCCATGTGAGGTTGCACCCTCTGCATAAATTCTACCATTTCCATTGAATAATTGTAATAAGGCTGTAAAAAACGGGTTGTTTAGCTGCTCAAGCACACTGACACTTAAAAATCAGGGTTGGTTATTCAGAACTTTGTATTTTCTGAAACTATAGGCCTAGGCCCAATTCTCACATTCTTTACGGTACTTGAGAATAATACATAAAATAAGGTAGTGTTTTGATTTCTCCTTTGTGAAAAGATGTGTTTGCTAAAATAAAAATCTAGACATGTTCTAGATTTTGGTTCAGTCAGACTTGACCAATGGAAACTTATATTTTTTTTGCCTTATGTGATTATTTTTTGGCTTTTATTTTTTACTTTAGGCCCTCTGGTGTAAGCCCACATAATACATTACAACCAATTTTACGCACCAGCTTTTCCCGGGGCAAAATGCCTGGGTATGAATTTAATGAGTAGCTTAGCTAACTTTTACAAAAATAAAAGAAATCAAATATTTGCTTTGAATTAGGCATGTTTATGAAAAAATGCCTTTTGATTAAAAAGGAAATTCCCTGGCTATAAGCCCATCCAAAATTGTCCCAGTTTTGTGTTCAATGGGGTATATTGTCCCAATTTTGTGTTCAATGGGGCTTATACTAAAGGAAGGGTTTTAAATTTATACAGGTATCCTTCCAATGGAAGACTACTTTTGGGTCTGGGGTTTTCATTGTTTTTTGCACCTTCCAAAATTCATTATCATGATGATAAAAGATAGTGCATATAAGAGTTTCTAACTTTTGTTGGTTATCCGCAGTATTCTTACCTTCCTTCGTATTTGTCTATTTATCAAAATATTTTTGTATGTATTTGTTACATTTTCTAAATGTATGTATACTGAGAATGGAGAAATGCTCTGTATGTTGTGCATAACAATTGTTAAGCAATGAATGCAGGACAGGAAGGATGTGAAGATTAATCTCCTGTTTGCCTGCTCTGTTTCTTTCACTTCATTTAACATATTGGTCCTGGTTATAATTATCAACATTGTTTTTTTGAGTATTGGTTGTTCTTTTCTGCTTCAGAGATCCCTTGATAATGTTTCACACTTTCGGTTACCGTAAATGCTTGATTAAACGCTGTGGTGTTTATAACATGTTTGGAGGCTTCGAGAGCGGCGCTTACAAAAAATATTGGCGATCGCTTTCCATGCCCATTTCCATCTATCATAGGTCCTTTACATTATAATAATAATAATAATAATAATAGCGTAGTTTCATATAGCGCACATATCTATCTAATGTAAGATGCTCAGGGCGCTTGATATGTGGACTAGGAACTCGATCAATGACGTTATAAACATTTATAAAGAAATGCTTGTGTCTTCATTGTGTTATTTATTCATTTTAACACTGTGTACATTGTATTTAAAACCCTGTTTCTCAAATGTTCACTCGTTCTCTCGTTCTCGAATAAACACCGCAGCGCTTAACGAAAAAATTATGTTTGGTGCAGCGCTTATTCGAGAGCAGTGTTTATTCGAGCCTTTACGTATCCTTGGAGGGCTTTTTGCCATATTATTCTACTTTATCCTAAAATTTAAAAAAAAATTTTTTTTTTTTAACTTTTGGCAAGCACATGTATTTAAAGGTGTAATAGATTATAAAATAATTTTTGGAATACATCATCTTGAACATCATTATCATTTTCTTTTCATCATCATTATCATTACCATCCTCATCATCATCATCATCATCGCTATCATTATATTCATTGTTGTTGTTGTCACCATAATATTTACTATCAACATCGTCATTATCATCACAACCATCATTCTTTCAATCACCAACATCATTAGCATCATTCCATGGTATCTTCATCCCATTATTCAAAATTCAAATTATTTGTCATACAAATATGTCACCATTGAATAGAAGTAAACAAGTTAAATTTGTCAGTCTTATAAATTAAACAATTTATTGAAACTTATATGTTAAATTGTTTTTGCAGCAACAATTATTTGAATTATTTTGTAATTAAAAAATAATGTAATTGTAGGCACATGAATGAACGTCGTGGTATTTTAAAGAACATCTCTTCATCAAGTCTCACTCATGGTGACATGAAAAAGATCCAAACAGAACCAAATGACCTGGTCACTGAAGCCAACAGTCATGTGGTAAGATACATAGTCACTAGTACAATGGGACCATTCCACCAAGCCACGCCCCTTGGATACTGTTGCTAATGTCCCACAAAACAGCAGTGCCGATGGATACGCAAACACATGCGTTTGTGGGACCACACGTATGTTTGTGAGACGCGCGTATTCCTGCCCTGTTCTAATTGATTGTTCAGTCGTTAAGTTTGATGAAATCCCCATGCATTGTATTTTATCTCCTTGTCAGGGGTCCTGAAAAATCACTTTTGGGAAACTGCTTTAAGAAGCTTTCGTAACACATTTTATTTTGCTGTGCCTGGTGATACATATCGCCAGCTGACTTCTGGGAGACAACTAATAATTCAGTAGAAAAAATATGAATTCGCATGAGATGGGTTAGTGTCTGGGAGATTGTTGCTTGTTTGCAAAAGTGCGTGTGGCCGCCCCTGATTTCCGTGGAACTCGAGCGACTCACAGAAGACTTTGTCCCCGGCCTTGTGGAACCTAATGATTAAGTGGTCCCACATCTTCTATATTTCATAGTAGTCTCCTGGAAATCAGCACTATCTTTTGCATTTTTCATAAGAAACTAAAATTATTGTGATATAGTATATTTCTTGTCCCAAATTTAAACTGTTTGAAAAAGATTGTGTTCTTTCTGTGTATGATATTTGAAATGTGCATTCAGATGTTGAATTTACTCTTTGCTTTGTAACCTCTGGTCTCAAAATTTCTCAACCATAAGCATTTTGTCACAAAATTATGATTAGTATGACAACAAATTTTTCCAGAGAGTATATGGTTTTGCACATTTTATTCTTGTTCCATTTTAAAGTAGAATTATAATGTACATACATATGTAACATCAATGAAATCTTTAAATAATGTTTTTTTTTTTGCTAGGATGAAGCAAAGACACCGATGCTAAAGACTCTATCAATCAGTATGGAAAACTTGAATGAGATTCCTGAAGAGGGTCAAACCGCTGGCCAATCATCCAACAAACATGCTGTACACTTCAAATTAGGTAAAAAAAGGGTGGAAAAAGACAAGACGGAAGGGATCATGAGAAGGATCGCTAAAGATGCAGAAGCAACAGCAGTGTTAGTTGGAGAAGTGGACTTCTTAGATCAGCCTGCGATGGCATTTATCCGTCTTGCCACCGGAACGGTGTTGGATAATTTCACAGAAGTTCCAGTACCCGTCCGGTTTATTTTTGTGTTACTTGGACCCAGTGGAGATATGGACTACCTTGAGATTGGACGATCTATCTCAACGCTCATGTCAAATGAGGTAGAATTTTTGGACTGATTTGGTTTGACTTCAGCCAGACGCACACTACATCTCTTTGCGTTTGCTTAACGATGGCATGTCATCTGCTGACTGTTTTTAATACGATCGGTTATGCGCGCCTGGCGCTGCATTCTCTGTTGAGTCGCATTAGTTGACGACATTTGTGACTGTGTGTTCCCAACTAGATTTTTTAATCGTGCCAGTTTTTTCTTGCATTCTTGTTTCTGAAATCCTTGTTTTTGTATCCTTGTGTCATGTCTTGTTTCTTGTCAATCTTGGTACTTGAATCCTTATTTTTTTATTTTCTTTGTATCTTTGTTTAATTTATTTTTATTTCTTGTTTCTTGTATCCTTGTTTTTTCAATTCTTGTTTTTGTGTCCTTGTATCATGTATTCTTGTTTCTTGAATCTTTTTTTTTTTTTGTATACTTGTTTATTATTATACATTTGTTTCTTATATCTTTGTTGTGTGTTGTACTTGTGTAATTTTCTATCTTATATATGATTCTATATGGTATCATTATATTTCCTGTAGCATTTCCATGAAATAGCTTACAAAGCTGATTGCCGGCAAGACCTTTTGGGCGCTATAAATGAATTTATTGATGACAGTATCGTGCTTCCCCCTGGGGAATGGGATAAAGACCTCCTGTTACCGATTCTACGACATCAAAATCGCAAAGTCAAGAAGAGACAGGAATCTAGAAGGAAGAAAGAAGAAGAAACTGGTAAGAATTATGTTCAGATACATTATATTTGGAAGTCTTAAAATATTCATTTTGAAAAATTACAATTTTTTTTTGTCTGTAAATAAATAAAACTAGATTGTTTCCAGCTTTGTCATATAAGAAGTTAATAAGTTAAATCAAGATTTTTTGTTATACAGTTACCTTGTTTAGCGAACCTCCTGTCGCCAGTAAAAGTAGTACTAGTGATTTCGAGTACAGATACAATTTTATTTTTGGTCAATTAGTACACCTACCACCACCACAAGAAAATGGAAATGTCAGAAAGAAATAGTTTTTCTTTATTTAGTTGATTTATTGATTACTGTATGATATGGGCATACCATCCCAAAACAATCATCAATGGCAAAAAAAAAAAAAAAAAATGAAAATTAACTTTCAATTTATTCATATTCTCCACATTAATATAGTTTAAACTGATGGGTATTATTTGAATCAAAATTATGAGTAAAATTATTACTGTTTCTGTACTAAAGTATACAATAACTGCCACATTCTTATGCTAAATACTCAGTTTAAAGTATAACAACAGTATGTTGGTTTTTGATGGTAAACCTCAATGATTGAATGGTTTGAGTTGTATAATTTGATTAATTTTTATATTGGTTTATTTATTCATTCATTCTTTGATTGATGGATACATTTCTTTATTATTTTTTGCAGCAATAGATTCCGGTGAAGTTGTGCAGCAAATTGATCCATTGGAAAGGACTGGTATTCTGTTTGGAGGGCTTTTTAATGACATTAAGCGCCGGTATCCATACTACTTAAGTGATTTTCGAGATGCTTTAAATGTACAGTGTTGTGCAGCCTTCATCTTCATTTTCTTTGCCTGTCTATCACCAGCAATAACATTTGGTGGTTTGCTAGGTGAGTTTGCAGTTACGGTAGCTATTGTTAATTGTCATTTGTTGACGTCGTCACTTGATAGTCTATCATTATTACTGCCATCATCTTCATCATCGTCATCATTAGTGTCAGTCATCATCATATCATCAGCAGCAGCATCACCATTGATGATCATTTCTCTCATCAGCTATTACACTTATCATCATTTAGCATTTTTAGTTCCTATGCATGTAATGCAATAGGAACTATTGTAATCACTC